AAATACAAAAAAGATGGATATTTTCTTCCAGAATGTTTGTGTGTATATGTGTACATATTTAAAAAACATAATTGAATTGCTTTATTTATAATATTTTATCCTTCTTTTATTTTTGTTTTTATTTTTTGGGGGGGCCTTCTGGTACAAACCGGAAGACCTACTAGACAAATTCAAAAAGAGCTAAAAATATGGAATGCTTCACGAATTTGCATGTCATCCTTGCGCAGGGACCATGCTAATCTTCTCTGTATCGTTCCAATTTTAGTATATGTGCTGCCGAAGCGAGCATTTATCCTTCTTTTAAACTTAACATTCTATTAGCATAGTTTTACTTATTAAAAACTCTTAAACATTTACCTTATTAGAAATTTTGAGTTACCTAATATAACATCTGTGTTTCCATTTTCTCATTTGAAAATAGGTTAAATAATATACACATCTCATAGGTGAATTGTATGAATTAAATGAGATAATGCAAGTAAAACATGTAGCAAAGTGTCTATCATGTAGATTGCAAATAATGGCCACAAACCCCCTACCCTGTGTGCATGCCCTTCGGAGTGTGCGTTAGTTGCAACCCTGACCAAGAAGTGACGTCTACTTCTCCACTTCCTGGACTCTTGGCATGGCCTCCTGGCTTGCTGTGACCAATCACAGGTGTCAAAGGAGAAGCTGTGTAGCTAACGAGCCAGGTCCGCAAGGTGCTTTGCAGCTTCTGCTGTCACTCTCTTGGAACTCTGAGACTGCAATGTGATGAAGCCTGGGTTAGCCTGTGACAGACACATGGCCCAGCCAATGGCCAGCACCATCATTGTTAGACAGGGAGGTGAAATTATCATAGACCATCTCACCCCTGACACCCAAGGTGAGCTATCAGATAACTACAGTTGCAGGATGGGAGACGGTGGACCATAAGCCCAGCCCAAATAAAACAGTGTCTTCGACTTCTCTGTTTTCAGGTGATAGTTATACAGCAATATAGAGATAATGATAGTGATCAATAAATATTAACTACTATTAATATGCCATATAAGCTTGAAAGGTGCTTCAAAATATTGTTAATCATTTAACACATATTTTAGTGTCAGGTATACATAAAGCAGGGCCTTAAATTTTATTCATGCCATGGTGGACATCAATGCCACAAAGACATCTATTCACATACATTTCCTAATCCCAAAGAACTAGTAAGTTATTGGAGATGTTTCTTCATGGGCAACCTTAGAATCAGGGGGTAACAGTGACCTAAGTCTTCCAAAAAAGCACCCTATACAGATTTGATGGTTAAATAGCTAACCAAATAATTCCTATGGCTCCTTTTTTTTCAATTGAATAAACATGCTTTCAGTATTTTGTACGATTAAAAATTATTAGTACATTCCTATTTATTTGAATGTGCATGATAATGATTTGGCAAAGATTTGTAAGTGATTATGACAGCAATGCTATTTTTTCATATAGTTTTCATGGAATCAGTTATCCTTGGGCAATTAGCCTCTTAATTTGCCTCCCTTGCTTCATTGCAAAAGGAGACAAACTCTACATGACAATGATGGTGATGATTTGAATGGCTCACATTTGAGTGCTTAATATATAGCAGACCCTGAGCCAACTACTTTAGATGCATTTATTCCTTATAACAGGCTATTTAGTATTTTATTAAGATAGTTTAGGGATCAGGAATCTGTGACATAGAGCAGTTAAGTGATTCAAGATTATCCAGCTAGCAAGTTGGTTAATTTGCTAAAGTTTAAATTTAAGATCTCTCTAACTTCGAAGACTAAACTTTTTAACCACTGACTAAGCCTTTGAATTGCCCTCTGCAACTTGCTTCTGGTAAATACTATGCTGTTGACACTCAGTAGACTCTCTGAAGGAAGAGAATGTTGGTTTAAAAACCATCTCAATCGAATTATTCAAATGCTTAAAATAGGGGGTAAAGTGAGAGATATTTCAACTCTGTAACAAGCAAATGCAACCCCCATTCTGTTCCACTGGCTAAAAATGTACTGGAAAGGAGATGGCTCTCAGAACAACCAAGAAGTGTAATTCTCGCTTGTAAACTCTATAGAGAAAGAGAAAGGATGCATATACTTAAATTTTATAGGTTGTGCTCAGAGCTGGACCTAGAAAGCCAAGTAGGTGGACTGAGGGCTGCAGAAAGTAGGCCTTAACCTGTTCTGAAATACAGCTGCAGCTGCACTGCCACAGGCATTGGGAGTCCTGTTTTGATGAGAGCCTGTCACTCAGAAAGGTCCAATGTAAGAGCTTATATCAAAGCAACTAAAACCTCCCAGTCACCACTAAGAGATCATGAGGTTCTTCATTTTCAGTTTCAATGTTTCCCTTTAGTTTATTGGTTAGCGTGCTCTCATGTGTATTTTTATACTGTGGGAAGTTTTGAAAAAGGTTTAATATTAGAATCATAGACTTGGAAAGGAAATTTAAGTATCATCTTTTGTAAAAAACTCAATATTGACTGCATGTAATACCCCGTCCCTAAACATAGTTAACAAATTTTAACAGTGATCTAAATCACAGAAGAGTATCTGAAATGTACAGCTACAATGTAAAAATGAAAAACCACACCCCTCCTAGTGAGAAAGAATATATTTCTAATACTTTAGAAGCTCCCAGGATGTCCTTCATAAGTTGGGTCACCCAGCTTACTCTCAGAGGTAACACTACCCTGAATTTAGTGTTAATCATCCCCTTTCTTCTCTTTATAGTTTTACCACTTGGTGTTTGTTTCCCTAAACAGTACTTTTTGTGTGGGGGTGGAGGAGGGGAGGGGAAAGGGAGTGTATTCCTAATTTTGAGCTCTGCTTAAATTGAATCCTATTGTGCTTTTCTGACTTGCTTTTTTTATTCTACCTTTAAAAAAAAGCATATTGATTATTCATTTACTTTCAACTTTATGGTATTCAATTTTATGAATATACTCTTGGTAGACATTCAGGTTGTTTCTAAAACTTTGAACATGGGTAACAATTTCTCTGGGGCATACAATAGGAGTGGAATAGCTGTGTCTTCATTTGTACACATATCCAGTCTTTTTAGGTAACACAATTTATCCAAAGTGGATGAGAGTAGCCCATAAAAATTCCCTTTTCTCCATCTCGTTTACAGCACTTGGTTGTCAGACTTGTATCTTGGCCAATCTAGTAGCGAAATGCTATTTTCATTGTGATTTAAATGTGCGTTTTTCTATGATTATTCATGAGGTTGGGCATTTTTTCATATGTTTACATGTAATTCAAGTTTTCTTTGAAAGGCTTATATGCCCTTTGCCCATTTTCTATGGGACTGTCTTTTTCTTATTGACTAATAGGCATTCTTTTTTTCCTTTGGTGGGGTATTTTTAAAAACACAGCATTCATACAAAAGAATGCATACAACATAAATGTACTGTTTAAAGAACCATTTAAAATCAGTGTAATCACCACCTCAGTAAAAAAAACAGAACATTGCCAACACTCCAGAAGCACCTCCTTTGCCCCTCCCTGATCACAATCCGTTTTTTCTCAGAGGTAATGACCATTCTGACTTTTATGGTAATGACTTCATTGCTTTTCTTTTTATAGTTTTATCACCTGGGAATCCATCCTGAACAAAACAGCATTGTCTGCTTTTGAATGTTATAAAAATGGTTCACATAGCATACATTCTTTTGTCTTCGGCTTCTTACACCTACCACTATACTTGGGAAATTCATGTTGTTTCACAGTTTCAGTTTCATGTAGCTGTAGTTTGTCCATTTTTGTTGCTGTATAGATACCGCAATTCATTGAACTACTGTAATGCTAATGAACACTTGGGATGTTTCCAGCTTTTTGTCTTATGAACAATGCTGCTAAGAACATTCTTATAATGTTTCTGGATACAGCTGAGCAAGGCTGTCTCAAGGGTACATATTAAGGAGTGGAACTGTTAGATCTAAAGTATACGTATCTTCAACTTTACTAAATAATCCTAAACTACTTCCCAAAGTGGTATTATACATACCATTTGAGAATTCTCATTAGTCTACCAACAACTGTCAGAATTCTAACTTTTGCCCAGCTAGTACATGTAGTTTAAAACCAATCAACTGAAGCCAATCACTGTGGTTTAATGCATTTCCTGACTAGTAATGAGCTTCAGAACCTTATATGTTTATTGACCATGTGGATTTCCCCATTTTAAAATCAATGATTTTACCCATTTTTCTACTGGGATTTTTCTTTAGTTCTTACATATCCCGGACGCTAGCTTTTGTCAGCCCTATGCACCCCAGATACCGTCTTCCACTCTGTGATTTATGCTTTTCTCTCTTTATGATGTATGTTGAAAGGTTAAGGTTTTCGTTTTTTTTTTTCAATTTTTATCTAGTCGAATTTGTCAATCTTTTGCGATTAGTGCTTTTTGTATCACATATCTCTACCCATTGATCGTGAAGACGGTCTACGTTATTTCCAAAAAGCTGGAGTTTTGCAGTTCACATGTAGGTCTCTGACGGCCCCTGAAATTCCGTGTAGAGGGTGGGGTTGGGTTGGGGAGACTCTTTCTGCCCTCAGGCAGGTCACTTGCTGCTCCCTCTGCTTCGCAGTACCCCCCAGGTCTTACTTCAAGTTCCACTCTCGGGCCCTTTTACCACGTGGGTATCCTACTTCTACCAAAAAAAGAGCTCAAGAGTTTGCTAATAAAGGCATGTTTTTGCTTCCTCACAACAGGATCTCCTGTACTGTTCTTGGGCGTTTTGCTTTTAAGGTTTTCACCGTTCCGTGTGGAAACGCCCTTGTGAGCTTATGTGCCCGTGAACATTTCAGGGGATGCATAAATAACTTGGCCAACAAGGTCCGGCTACGTACCTCAGAGGTTTCGCTGCGGGGACGCCAGTACCCGCCTCTTCCCGCAACGTAACGCGCAGGCGCGGCCTTCCTGGACTAGTGCACCGCGCAACAAAATGCGCCTGCGCAGCGGAAAGCCCCACCCCCGCCCCCGCCCCACCCCGTCCGCTATAAAATCTCGAGCTTCTCCTCGCGAGACACTTGGTTCTCATGCTCGCTGCGGGGGTCGGAGGTCAGAGCGAGCGTCTCGCGGGCCACAGGAGGAAGATGGCGGTGGAGTCGCGCGTCACCCAGGAGGAAATTAAGAAGGAGCCGGAGAAGCCGATCGATCGGGAGAAGGTGAGGCGTCCGGATGAGGTGGCAGTGGGCCGGCGGGGCGGAGAGCGGGGCTTGCGCGAGGGGGGTGGCTCGGAGGCCGCGGCGCCTGCGGGTGGCTGGCCGCTCTGCTTCAGCATGTGCCCTTGCATTTACCCCTGTCCCCCAGACGTGCCCGCTGCTGCTGCGCGTCTTCACCACCAACAACGGCCGCCACCACCGCATGGACGAGTTCTCCCGAGGGAACGTCCCTTCCAGCGAGCTGCAGATCTACACCTGGTGAGCGGGCCACAGGGCGGGCGGGCGCCGAAGGGGAAGCGGCCCCAACTTGGGCCTGCGGGCGTAGTTCCCACAGAGTCAGCTTCGGCTGTTAGGTGAAAGGATTGGCCCTGGGCCGGCTGAGTGGCGCATTGGTTAAGAACTGGGTTGGGATGCCAGAGGGCCCTGGTTCGGATCCCACATGAGGGCCAGTGATGCTGCCCTCTACAGCTAAGATGCTGAACAGCTCAACCTGGAGCTGGGCTGCCATGAGTTGCTTGCAAAGGCTAGGCTGCAGCCCCTGCTGCAGTGGGTTGTCATGGGCTACCTTGTGTAGCCAGCAGCCAGCTTGAGTGGCCCTCAAGCTGCCCGTGATAGGCTGTCCAGAAGCCGGGGACTGATCTGCCTCGCCTGGGAAGAGCTCAATGATGGTGCCAACTTGGGCCAATGAAGCAACATCCTCCACAACCAGACTGAAGAACAAAAAGACAGCAACTTGTCTGTTCCCCTTCCTCCAATTCCCCAGCGCTGTTCCCATCCCCCAATTCCCCAATAAAAAAAAATCTTAAAAAAAAAAAGAAAGGATTGGCCCAGCCGGTCTTGTACGCTTCTGCGCCTAATGGTGAACCTTTTGCGTTGTCGAGTTATGGCTGCTTGGTACAGCAATGGCACGCAGACTGTTAGAATGCGGCAGCCGACCTTAAGGGGCTCTTGGTCGAATACATGGTACTACAGTCACAGGGGGAAGGGGCAGCTATGCCGTCCAATGATGTTTGTTTTTGAGGAGTACTTCCAGGTAATGTTGAGCCTTAGGTGCCATGGCATCAAAAATCAGCATAAACGAAGTGATTTCTGATCTGGTGCATAGTGGGAAAGCTTTTGATGTGTGTTCAGTGAAGACCTGCCTCTGAATGTGTGTTTCTTGTGTGTACCTTACCTACCCCGAGTCAGACTAGGAACATTACACACTGCAGGCTGCATGTACGTGTCATTCCTTCATTTGACATCTTAATGATTTTACAGTAGCTGTAAAAGGTGTACATTTTTTAAAATTTGTGTTTTGTGTGTGTGTGTATTACATCACATTTGCCATTTTAACTTTTTAAGGATACAATTCGGTGGCATTAAGTATATGCACATTGCGCAACCATTACCGTTAAATATCTACACAACTTTTTCATTCTCCGGCAACAGAAATTCTATACCAGTCCCAGGTGGACACTAATCTACTTTGTCTCTGAATTTATCTACTCTAGACACTTCTCATAAGTATCTAGATATTCATATATGTATGCTTCATATAAGTATCCACATATTATGTAAGTGGACTTATACAATATTTGTCCTTTTATTTCACTTAGCATAATGTTTTAAAGGTTTATTCATGTTGTCACATATAACAATTTAATTCCCTTTTATGGCTAAATTTTATGGCTAAAATTGTACTGTATGGATATACCACATTTTGTTGGTCCATCTATGGATAGGTATTGTGGGGTTGTTTGTACATTTCAGCCAGTGAATAATGCTGCTGTAAACATGGGTGTACAAATCTGTTTCAGCCTGCTTTCAGTTCTTTTGGTTCTATACCCAGAAGTTGGATTGCTGGATCATGTGCTCATTCTATGTTTAACTTCTTGAGGAACCACCAAACTGTTCTTCACACAGTATTTTACATTCCCCAAAAGGTGTGTAATTTTAAACTGTAAGCCCAGTATATTAGAACTCAGTTCTTTGAAAATTGGGACCGTATTTGTCTTTTTGAAGGGGCTTGTTCAGTTTATGCAGTAGTGTAATTCCAGTTTCAGTATATCATCCCAGAATAAATACAGGTTGATTTAACTTAGAGGAAAGAACTGTTATTACTGGGTTCATGAAAACCTCTGTTCAGAGATTAAAGTATATTTTCTCCAACAAATAAGATTTTGTTTGCCAGGCGCTGTACTTAGACCTTGAGGGTATAAAGGAAAGATTGTGCTGCCCCTCCCTACAGTGAGCTCAAGCCAGTGAGAAGGCACAGGAATAAATACTAAGTAAGACTAGGGGGATGATGGCAGGGTGAGATTGTTCAACAGACCCTCTACTCCCCATCAAGAAAAGATTACAAAAATTCCTGTCCTAAACAAAGAAAGAAAGAATCTTACCTCCAAGAAAACAGATTCTGAAAGACTGGATTCCAGGTTGGTGTGGGGATAGCGCAGAGCCCTGCCCCCATTCCCAGAAGCAGGAATGAGGGAGGTTGGTTAACAAATCATAGGAATTCTCAATTTGTGAAGGGACTGAGGGGCTAATGTAGGCAGCCCTAAGAAGTCAAGGGGGGAAAAAAGCAGTGGGAGTCCAGAGGAGCCCAGCAGAAGCCAGCTGAGTTTGCCAAAGTCCAGGGCACTGCATGAGGTTGGGAACAAGCCACACACCACCGGAGTGATACATGTCCTATGATTGGGTGGTCATTAAACACGTTATTGGAAGATACCCACTGTTTCAGGGTTCATCAGAAAAACAGAACCAGCAGCAGTTATAAGAGATTTATAGCGAAGAATTGGATTATATAATTGTGGGGACTCCCTGGGTACCTGAATCCCTCATCCGTAAGGCAGGCTACCAGGAAGGGCAGACTGGAGCTTTCCGCATGTGCTAAAACTGCATCTGCAGCCTGCTGAGCCTTCAACTGATTGAATCAGGCCTAATGGGTTATTTAGGAGGATCTCCAAAGTCCAACTGATGGGACTTTAATTCCACCTACCAAATAAGACGCTCCTTGACTTACTATGGGTTATGTCCCGATAAACCCATGGTAAGTTGGAAATATAAGTCGAAAATGCATTTAATATTATGCTGTAGAGTATTAGTTGTTTACTCTTGTGATAGTGTAAGTCGGAGACTGTCTGCATGTTACCCAACACCTACACTAGTGTTTGAGTAACTGGGAGCTGCAACTTCACCATACATAGAAAAGCGCCCCTCACAATCACTCAGCAAAGACGGCAGCCCCAGGGAGCCCCTGCAGCCTTCACCCAAGTGCTCAGGCTGTGGACTAGTGGTCAGAAGTGTACTTGGCAGTCCAGCTGCTGCTCTGGGTAACTCCTCAGCACGCAGGTGGGAGTTCACGGAGGAGGGCTTACTGTCAGAACTCAGAGGTGTGAACCAGACTCTCCACGTTCATTGTGAGTAAGATGACAATATGGAAAATGTTTTTAGAAAGGAAGAGAATCCTTTCTGTTACACATAAGTACATACTGTGTACCAGGAATAATTGATTACAATAAACACCAGAGTATTGAGTTAAAGAAAGTCACTCGGGCCTCAGGCTTCAGGCCAACATTGAAGATCACTGAGGACAAAGTTAAAGGAACCAGGCTAATTGTGGCAGAATACAATATGAACTCTAACAAAGTAAAAATAAGCTACAAAAGGACAGGGTTGAGAGGAAAAGTAACATCATTACCTGAAATTTTACAATTCCTTCAATTTGACTTTAGTTTTTTCTTGTTAATTTCAAGTTAAGGTAATTTTCTTAAAGATATATATATTTGAAGTATAAGTTATATTTTTGTATCGTCTCAGCATATATAACATGCTTGATAACGACATTTCTGTAGCATTGTATATATGCATAAAAAGATGCCAAAAGTGGTTTGACATCACTGGTTACTTCTGGGTGGAGAGGTGTGGGATATAATTTACTGCATTCCCCTCTTTCAATAATGAACATGAGTAATGTTGGGAAAGGCAGGCTCGCACAGCTTCTTGCCTGTTGCAGGGCGACAGTAGCCTTGGGCCTGGGTCATTTCCTTGTAAAGAGGTAAGGGCCCTCTCAGCCTGTGCTGGAATTAGCTCCCCGGCAATGTCCCTGTCCTGGGCTTGATGCTCTTTGTGCTGCTCAAGCGTCCTGTGTCCCCTGACCAACCCCACTCTATCCCTTCCCTGCCCACGAGAGGGGCATGCAAGACCGTCTGATGGGCTGCAGGTGAGAGCTGTGGGTAGTGGGGCCCCTGCAGTCACAGCTGAAGCTGATCTTGCTGTCCCATCTCAAAGTGTTGTCCATGTCTTTCTTGGCAACCCTAACACTGCAAACCCTGGAGTGGGGTGACGTCCTGGGTGCTGCTCCTGGTGGCAGACGCTGTCGTGCTCTTCGCTGTCCTCCAAGAGTGGGACTTCTCCCCGGAGGTGGGAAAGGGTGCTGCTTGCTTCAAATGTGTTTTATTTATTTTATTTATTTTTTTTTT